TAACTTCGATTGCTTAGCGCCGAAGTGGTTGGAATTCCACGCCATCCGGGCACCATATAATTCACGTTCGCTTTCCCGCGAACGTGGCGCGAATCGCCCCCGTGGATTTTTATTTAACTTCCCGCCGAGTTATTCTTTTGCCCGTGCCGCGCCGTGTTTAATCTAGGCCAATGAAAAGTGAAACATATTTCGAACGAAATGCGATCTGACAGAGGATATCAGCTTCTTCTGTTTTTGTACTTCGTTTCACGAGAAAAAGAGGAAAACTGAATCCTCATTTCTTCTGCAATTTCGTTTTCTTCCACTTTACTCTTTATACACAGTTCTTGCAATTGTCTATTCCTGATATGTGAAATTGGCTTCCTTAAGACTGATATTGCTCAGAAAATTTTATAAGCCAAATGTTATTTTATACTTCAATAAATGCTGGTGATATGTCAAGGAAATATGGACCGTTTATTTTGAAAGTGGTGTAAGTCCTTTTTTTAAAAAAGATGAGATACGACGTAATTTATGCTTAATTTAGTGTAAACTTTTTGTTTATAACTAGTTAGTGTTTAATATCTTGAAAAATGCCAATGCTTTGTTCGATTTAAAATTGGCCGGTAAAAGAAATTGCGTGACCACTGATTATGAAAGTGGTGTAAGTCCAATTTCCATCACGATGCCAAGCCTATTACATACGAAAAATATAAGGATATGCAGCAGCTATTACCTTATATACCTCCTGTGCATCATGAATATTTCAAAAAACTGCCACATGAAGAGCATAAGTAATTAATAATACCAATATCTTGTGTTAAGTTTAACAATATATAAACATAATTAACGTTCAAAATAAAAAATGCTAATCCTATTTTATTTCTTGTTATTGGATTAATATGAGATCTATTTTAAGTGATATTTGTTATTTCAAAATTGAAATTAAATGATATTTACAATTGACTAATTATGAAAGTGGTGTAAGTCCATTTGCAGCCTGGAAATTGTATATTATTTTAGTTAAATTCGCCTAAAAGGAATTTATACAGTCAAATTACATATTGATAAATTAGTACAAACATTCCCAGACTTCGCATAATTAACCTATATTTTTTAATTGTCAGATCTGCTAACATTCAATTTTCTCGAAACGAAAGAAAGTGGACTTGCACCACTTTCAAAATAAACGGTCCATATATTGCTTTTGTCCTTTTACCGAGTATGAAATGAGCCGTTTATTATGAAAGTGGCATAAGTCACTTTGTTTTTAAGTCGATATATTTAAGGGTTTGCGTTTTAACACGTTTAAAAATATGGATGCTAACTTTCGAGAAGATTTGCTTGTATTTGTTATCTCAGGATACTGATATTTTTCTCGGTATAAATAATTTCGTATAAACATTAAAAAATCACCACTTTTCATTACGGTAAAGTGACTTGTGCCACTTTCAAAATAAACTGCTCAAATACTGTATGCTATTATGTATGTTATATATTATAACTGTATGTTATTACACTTACGCAAAAGCATTTTTACGCTCTCGGTTACATTGCAAAATATCACTGATTTTAAATAACTGCATTACGATCATCTAGCTTGTTTTATCAGTTTTATTTCGTGTATACATATTCTTTGTTCTTCGTACGAGTTTTACGTCTTTAGCATTGTGTGAACTCAAAATATTCTTATTTTGAACTAGCAACGCTACACGCATTTCACACAGAAAGGTTATTGATAACTATTAAAATGAAATCTCCATCGAATTATATTTCACTAGGTATTCTTTTCTTGAAATACATTTTACAACAACAGATCGCAAAATAAAGAATGGTTGAAAACATTTTCACTTTCCACACCAACAACAAAATTAAAGCATCACATTTTATTACATTAAATGCAAATTGGAAAATCAAGTTCTACGACATAAATTGTTGGCGCACAGCACTAATGTTCTTTATGACACGAACGTGCCTAGCCGGCTGTTTTTGAGCTTAGGATTTTCAATAACACCTGGTATGCGTTTTGGACGTAAAGCGTTTGCCGGCCGAGAGTACGCATGCTCTGTTGCTTGATTTTTGGGACTTCGCTTCTCTCGGCCTCGATGGCCAGGTCTTGTCATAAAAAAGGAACAGTTCCGAAGGGTCAGCCTGACATTGTTTTACGACGGTGATGCCTGGAGGAATTTTCCTACCTTTGCCAAAGCCTTGCGGCCGCTCCCACCTCCCATACACCAGCACCCTCCCAGAAAGACGCGTTAAGGGCGCAAGGGAAGGGTGTCTGCTTTAAAACAGACTCACCGATTGGCTATTGCCAAAAATTAAGGAAAACCAATCGGCGAGTGTCAGAAATGCGTTGGAGGGGTAGCAGTCTACCACGAAGGAAAATATCCTCTAATAGAGCAGAGTTGTAACAGAATTCGTAGAACTAAGACCTCCTGACCAAGGGTGTAGCGTAGTCGCGGGCCGAATACAAAACTTCAAGCAAAATCCGGTTCTTTATTTTTATATACAGTCCATATATATAGCGTCATAATTCGTCGCTATTACCGACGACGCTGTGGCGCCCCAACACGAGTCAAGTACCTCTAAGGGGGTACGACGACGAATGTTTCTGGAATCGGACCACATAGGAACATCCCCACTACCATTTTTCCAGAGAAAATCTGGCTATATAAAGGACCCAAACGCGACCAGAAATCGGGCTGGTTTCGAGTCATTCGTCGACGTGGAAACTCTAGTGAGATCGAGTCTTAATTCTCCCTCGAACAATCTAGTAGGTAATTAGATATCATATCAGAAGCCCCCGCCGACTCAGTGCGAAAAGCTGAGAGCGCGATAGAGTCCGCGAACATCTACATACATTTGTGAAAACCCAAATCGCGTAATAAATTCGCTTTTGCCAGTTTTCTTTGGTTACAAGTTCAATTATTTCCATTTCCTATTTCGAAGCAGTAGTTGGTATAACCAACATTCTTACACTCCGGAAATCCTAATAAAACCGAAAAGAATGTAACACGTTAACGTGTGAATTAATTTTCGAATCAGAGCAGCCGTCGAGATGCCGATGGAATTTGACTAGAATAAAATCGGATCTCTCGGGGCCGCGACCACGAAAAGAAGAGCGCAAAAAAGTTACAAGTCGGGCGAAGAAGATTTTCAGCAGCTGAAAACCATCCGCGTTCAGAAATCACTCGTCGCGCTATCGACAGCAACACAGTGATTCGACGGTTTCGGACGTTCGAGCTAAGCATTTTCCACTTAACGATTGCGCTGGAAAAATTCCATCTTGTTCGGGGCGTCGAGGAATCCATTGTTCCGGATCTGACGTATCGGCTACGGCGCAGCGGTGCCTGATTATCCTTCATCTTCCCCAATAATTCTATCGTTTCGACGGCGGAACGACAGGAGCGTGTCACCGAAAATTGGAAATCGAATCTGCCAGGATCCCGAAGAAAGGGGACTCCGAAACTCATCCGTTCCCTGATCCCGAGTCCGCGGGACTTTCTACGGCTGGCGGTAGACACACGAGCAAGTTGCTCCCAGCAGCCTCGAAATCCGCGAGAAGTTATTTCGTTCGTGATATCTTCGCGTTCCCTTCCACCATCGCGCCCTTCCCCATTTTTCACGTAAACGTAACTTCTCCTCTTCCTCTTTTGTATGCGCGACACCAACACGGTTTTTACGAGCTGAAGCCTGAGACAGTTGCGCGTGACCGAGAATTCGTTTGATTATTCTGAGAGCATGATAGTTATGAATGAGCCCCGACGTAAAGCGGCACCTTTTCTTAAAAACTTGGCGACCGTTCTATAATCTCGTACGATTTTGATGAAAGTCGACACTCTTATGTTGAATGAAATCGTTGAATTTCAATATGCAGTACTGATATACTAATGAACAAATGAGGAATGAATAAAATGATTAATGAATAAACTATTCAAGGTGAGTCACAAATTAGTGCCCACGATTTTTTAGTTCCTTCCGATGGTATGATAAAAAAATGTTTCCTACCAAAGTTAATTAGTATTTAACCGAGAAGAATTTATAGTTATACTTCTTAGTTTATAGTTTATATATATATATATATATATATATATATATATATATATATATATTATATATATTATATATTATATATTATATATTATATATTATAATATATATACTATATATTATATAGTTTATAGTTATACTTTAAAATGAAATTAGGTGATTTTAACTCCATAGTATTGTAGGCGACGTCGAGATGAATTCAACGACTTGCTACATGATGACCTTCGGATGACATTGAAGGAAAAACTACCATTAATCGATGGTTTTATATTAATTTTTCTTTTGCTCTATGTGTTAACGTCTGAAATTGAATAAATGATCATTTGTAATGTTTACATTCATTTATTTATATTTACATACGAGGTCTTGGTGTTATTTATGGTGTCCCAAAATGATGGTATTTCCGGAAAGTGAGGAGTTCCTGAGATGATTTGAAGTAACATTTTCCTTTACAAAAATTTTTTCCGAAGCATCGTTTACGAGTTATTGAGGAAAAACAATGACCAATGAGGGGCGAGCTCGCCTGGCGCTAGGCGGCCGAGCCAATGAGCGGAACTGGGCTTCGTGCGCTCGTTGGCTGAGTCGCTTCGCGCCAACCGAGCTCGCCTCTCATTGGTCAGTGTTTTTCGGTAATAACTCGTTAACGATGCCGCGGAGAAAAATTTTGTAAAGAAAAAAGTTGCTTCGAATGACCTCAGTAATCTCTATATTCCCGGAAATACCATAATTTTGGGACACTCTGTATATCGCCGAAATTATATCAAATATTGTGGCACTTCGTGGCGATTCGTGGCACTTTTTCGTTCAGTGTTATCCGAAGGTCGTCGTATAGCAGCTGGGAAATGAAAGATGTGTATCATTTTTTGTACGTATTGAACGAATTTACGTCTGTGCGTGACGCGGCTTAAAACGGCGGAATAGATATTAATCGCGGATCCTTTGTTGTTGCGTGCTGTTGAACGGCTTACCTGATTCGAAGATTACTTCGCTGAGCATGATCCAACGGGCTGCGAAATACAGCTGCAGTTTCAGGAACCGGCCGGCGCGGGAATGGAGCTTTATGGTAACGTCACGTGCCTGCTCTAGCACCAGGTCCGGTATGTAGGAGAACTGGACCGGCTCTCCGTTGAACTGATTCCCACCGGCACCAAGATAAACCTTCGCGTACGAAAAGACCTGCCGAGAAATCACGTGTATGCTCTCAATCTGTGTGCTCGGGATTATGTACACATCGACGCGACGGCTGACTGCACGTGGCCGTCCTATTGACGATGATTCCATGGCGGAAATTAGTTGGGAACACGCAGCGACGAAATTGCTATGGATTCGATTGTAAGCCCTTCGATCGAATCTTTATCCGTTAGCATCGTGAACTTTTCACTTTGCCTGTGTAAGTTTACGTAAAAAGTATTCGTACACTGTGTTACCAATTTTTGAGAAAATGTCAATATTTGAACTGTTATATCTTCGTAAAAAAGATACTGTTATATCTCCAACAATAAATCTGGACTCACTTTAAAGCTTGAAGCTTCTATTGGGTTGGCAACTAAGTAATTGCCGATTTCAGTTATAGATGTCTCTCACTCCCATTTTTATGATATCCGTGAATGTTATATTATCAAATTATTATTATTATTATTATTATTATTACAGAATAAATAATTAGGTGTCTAACTCTCAGTTCATTGATCAACATATTAGTCAATTTACAATTCAAAATATTATGTTGGAAACTAAGTAATTGCCGATTTCAGTTATAGATGTCTCTCACTCTCCCATTTTTATGACATCCGTAAATGTTATATTATAAAATTATTATTATTATTATTATTATGTTATTTTTTATTATCCGTGAATGTTGGCAACTGGACAAATTGAATGCAGCGGTCAAGGAAAAGCGACCAGAATTGGTCAATCCTAACGGTGTCATTTTCCAGCAGGACAATGCTAAGCCGCACACGTCTTTGTCCACTCGGCAAAAATTGATAGATATTGGTTAGGAATTCATGTTACACCCAGCATATAGTCCTGATCTCGCGCCATCGGATTACCACTTATTTCGATCCCTGGACAACTCCCTTCGTGGTAAAACTTTGAATGACGATGACGCTGTAAAATCTCGCTTAACTCAGTTTTTGGCCGAAAAGGATCAGACTTTCTACGAGCGTGGAATTTTCAAGTTGTCGGAGAGATGGCAAAAGGTCATCGAACAAAATGGAAAATACATTACAGATTAAACTTCGTTCCAAGTGAAAAAAATTTTTTATTTCATTGAACAAATCGGCAATTACTTAGTTGCCAACCCAATACTTATGCTGTCCATAGTTCATTTCTCTGTAACATTGTTGTGTAACTACTTTGCACTGTACGAACGAGTCAGACTCGTAATCAGAATTTCATACATGATCTACTAAAAATGAAATTTCTTCCAAATCGAAACTAAAGTGAATTGTTCTTTCATGAAAATCAGTAAATGAAAGTACACGGAGACGAGAAGAAACTAAAATTGTCTCGTTCCATTTAGGATATTAATAAGAATAGTATTAACCCATTAACTGCCACGATCCCCATTTGGGGATTTAGTTAATGTCATTAGTATATAGGGATATAGTTTAATTTAATAGTTTAATTTAATTATATAGGGATATAATTTAATGTCATTTTGTATATATCAGACAATATTGTTTATTGCAGACGGTGTGTATTTTGTGTTTCGTTTTTTTTTTCAACAAGTGAACAAATTTAGAAATCATCTGTACGTGGAACACAACAAAATTATCATATTTGAAGCATGATATTTTTGGTTTGGTTTTTATATTATAATTAAATACCATATATAAATATGTAATTTAGAGGTCATGGTAACTATGTGTTACTTACTCAGTTTTTTATTTTTCATATAATAAACAAATTTTTTCTTTTTTTTCATTCATGCAACCTGCCACAATCCCCATTTGAAACTTTTTAGAAAACATACAATATTTTAACAACAAAACATAATTTGAATATAATTATACTGTTACACAACTTTTTGTGCATACACATAACTTTTCCCCTCAAAAATTGGAAAAAAGATTTGACAGTTAATGGGTTAAGGGCAATTACTGTAGCTGTGACAGAAATCGTAGTACAAGGGGTTAACTGTTCAACACTTTCTTTTTCTATTATATTTTCAAGATTCAAAATTTTGAGAGCAATTATAAACCTTAATCGTTTCATTTTGATAAGAGTTAAAAATCAACTATTTTAATTCAACGAAGTTCTTTTCGTCAACACCTTCAACACACACCTGCATTGTTAGAATAAATATTCAATGGAAATTTTTTCTAGTCATAGAAAACAATGAAGACATTTTAAACTCCAGCCTGAGTAAGTTTCGCAACGACACACACCGTCGGGACGAAGCGATCGGTAAACAGGGAGGGAATCGTCGGGCGTGACGGAATCGCTTCGTCTTCTTCTTCGTGATCGCGAGATATGTGCACGGAATAGAGCATTAACTATTGGCCGATCTCGGTAATCTCGCCTCCTGCGGAGGTGCGCGAGGAACGCCCGCGTCCCCGTCGATCGAATTAAAAATTTAATCCCTCGGCGATAGAGTCGCTCCAGATTCTACGACACGTTTTTCCCTCGATAAATAAACCGTGTCCCAGCGATAGGATGAATTTCTCGTGGACCTTGTACTCGAAAGCGGAGCATGATTTTCTGATTTAAATGATTCAACCGTGGGTCGGACTTTGTGTTCTTTAAACATTCAAATCCGAGCGCGCCCCCACGATTTAGAGTTTTCCCGCGGCCCTGGTTTGTTAATGACGCTGCCGCCGCTTCGACGGAGTAACAAATATCAATGTTTCAAATATTTGGAATGCGTGATGACGATCGCGCGGCGGCATGCAAATTGCGAGAATACGCGCGAAAGTCACGGCGCATAGAAAAATGCAAACTGCGTTTTGAATTATTTTCGGCTTGTAAATGTATAACAGTGGATGTGGAAAACGAGCGCTATTGAATCGGCCTCTTGTCCGAGAAAAATAACAATCGCGGCCTTTGTGCTGCGATTTTTGTACGTAGTCGAATTCTGGATGAATCCCGAATACATTTAAACAGAGTTTACATTTCGTGAAATTTAACAATAACTCCGGGTGAACAAATTTTCGAAACAATGAAGCACGAACATTTCTTTCTTTAAACGTTCCGACAGGAAATAGTGCGCGAGCTCGATATGAAGGATCATTTTCGTTTTTAAGCGAAATAGTGGAATACTTGTTTTGAATTTTGAATGTTTTTATTTATCTTTGTACTTGATATGGAGAGCAAAGAAAATGTTCGTCCTTTAACTTTCTTTCTTGGCTGCTTATGTATAATTTAACCCTTTGCACTCCGCTGTCCCCTCTCGTGGGACATCGTAATTCTAGCATATCACTCGGATGTCCCCTCTCGTGGGACATTAAAGTTTATTAGTGATTACGGGAATTGAGTTATTTCAGCGCAACTTTTTCAGACATGCATGTTCCCTGAAGTTTTCTCTTGAAATGGCGCAAGAAATCAAATCAAAATATAGTAAAATACTAAGTATATACAAGAAATGTCAGCGGGTTTTGACGAGAACGCGAGAGGCGTGCTCGCGACGGTCCGAGCACTTCAAAGGCGCCATTTGAAAAGAGCGATAAGGCAAGTTTGTAGAAGAAAGATCGGTATGCGAACATAGCACGCGCTGTATAGTGAAATTTATAATTATAAAATCTGGAGGAAAAGATTTTCAAAGCTGAACTCGGTCTGGTTCGAAGCGTCGAGCGGTATAGATAGATCTAACGAGTGAGAAAATCGGAAAAGTGATTCTTCTCTTGGTAAATAAATTGTTTGGTAAAAGTGTTTTCGGTAAATATCATCTTGTGAGTTAGTAATAACAATTAGAAATTTTCAACCTATGTATTTATTCAT